CGATTACGTGATGAGTCCCAACAAAGACGGAACAGGTCGTGCGATGTCTAAAGGTTTTCAGTGACTTGATGAGTAGTGGGTTTGGTCCAAAAGAATCTATTTATATTTTTCAAGCTCTCACTGCCAGTATGGTCACATGCATCCACCGTATTAGCAGAAACAATGGGTAAAAATAACAGGGAACGTGACAAAATATCCTCTCCCCCGTAAGTAAACACGACAGCTGCTTGCAACAAACTGCATATTAGGTGACATGATGTACTTACCAGACAATTGGATGTGTTATAGTGGCTGAATGGGAAAAGTGTAATTCGAGACAGTTTGTAATTTACTTGAAATGGGCGTCAACACAGACCCACCAAAAAGGGGAGGAATAAACCGAAAATCTTTCTGAGAACCAATCAAGTACCACATTGACCATATATCATATAATCTGAAAGTGGCTGAACAATGGATGAAACCGACTGTTACTTAAAACGTTCGTGAATCTGAATGGAAAATTTTTAACAACGAATAGCTTTATTGTCAGCGGTTTTCATAATTTCTTTCCTACTAACGGTATACTCAGAGCAGAATCGCAGTGGCAGTTAGTCTGTAATGTCTACATGCTTGATCATATCACTGCCTTCGCCACTCGAAGGTAATGCATAGCGTTCAGTAACTTTCTGATTTATGTATGCACCAAGTAAGGATTATGAATATTCATCAAGTGCCACGAACAATCCTGATTCGGTGGCTTGCGTAGATCCAGAATACTTACCGTTTCACTGAGCTCAATTTCACCCCATATGGCTTGCAGAGATATACTGACAAACACTCTAAACCAGACGTCGTATTCAGGATAATGTCAGAAAAAAGTGTTCTTCTCATCCAGAACATACTGAATGGTTCAATTCAAATGTGCCCCTTACCCTGTTGCAGTTAAATTGCTTTTTCCTCTAGCTTCAACGACAGTGTTGTGTATAGACTTTTTATGAATATCTAACCGCCGACTGTCCGATTATGTCTATTGGACCAGAGCTTTATCCCAGTTGCGTTGGCGTCACACAGTCCCCACCATATTTTCGCATCCGTCAGGTTTGTCCTTCCTCTAAGACTTCAGATGTTCGGCCCGATGTAAGGCGCACCTAAACCGTGAGTTAACCGTCCGGTCAATTACTGTATACTCGTTCAACTATTTAGATGTGAACCTTCGTCGCCTTGCGGCGGCACGCGAAATCTTAACACGTGAGTATCGAGCGAAACTTCGACCGGGTAGAGGCTGTGCCGACCACATCTCCACACTTCGCCAGATATTAAGTCAACGAGAAGTGTGCGTTGCATTCTAGGAGTACAAGATTGCGCGAGATTCCGTTCATAGGTCAGCGCTCCCAATTAACCTTGCTTACCAGGCGATGCACCGGAAGTTAGCGAACACAACGCAGTCATTATATGCATACTTCCTGGTGTGTGAAAGTGCACAGATATCCATCCAAAAGATCTTCCAAAAAGAACAGCCATTAAGAGATATTTGCTCTCCCCAACTTTGTTCAAACTGACCATCAATGATCCCCTGAAGGTGAGTATCAGGTTGTCCAAATCGTTGCTCGTGAGAAAATTGTCCAGCATGTCCGGTATCGTCTTAAACTATGAAGAACACGAGACACAAGTACAGTTCGATGAAATGATCGACGTCGTACCATTTCTGACGTGTCTCGCACCCAAGAGTGTGAACCTGTTTCAAAATATGCGTTCCCTGAACACGCCTCTCACAAGTCGAGCTCCGAAGGTTGTTGAGAATCTTGCATACCTCGGTAGTTGCATTAGCTCTGACGTGAAGGTCCCTGATGAAGTCCGTGCACGAATAGCAAAGGCGCGAATCATGTTTTCACATTTTTATCATTTATGGTACATCACTGACCCCAAAGGTCACACGTACCAAGCTACAGTAAAAGGTGTATTGTTTTATGGTAGCGAAATATTGTCCCTGCAGGCAGACGGGCCGAAGGTCCACGAATTTTCGTCCCCGACTTCTAGGCATTCCTGATGACCTAACGAGTTGGTTGGAAGATAGATGTTCGTTTGTGTGGCAGTCGCTGTGCCGAACCAAGGTCCACCGAGAGCAGTGCTGTTCTCTGTGCTTTCATTAAGACGGCGTAAACTGCGACTCGGTCAATGTGACCTGCCACAGGGACAGCAGCGAGCATAAAGTGTTCGGGTGTTGTTGGCGCTGGAATCAGGTCCCTGTGATTTCTCCAATGCGAGAGATGGCAACTAGGGGAAATTGGTGAGACTCGTCCAGACTTTCTGTCCAGATTGTCTGACTGAGCGCTTGGTGCTGTAGATAGCTCAGAATGCCCATGTCATGTTATCACCAGGTCTGTTCAAGGCTTTAAATATAGTTAACTAAACCTAGTCCTCTAAGCCAGTAAAGCACATGATAATGACGATTGTCATAAGGATTATATTATGTGCCGCAGAAAAAGTGCCGACTTTAAATTGTAACTCTCCTTCGGCAACAAAGAATGGAAGGACTCAGCTGGGTACACCAGTGATTCATAATTGGCAATTACCAGTCTACACAATGGATACCTACGTTGAAAACATATGCTAGCAGTAAACAGCTTCGCATGTACATGGAAAGCAGTTTCCTGCCTTATGCTTCACTTTCCAATTGAGTGTTGAAGGCTGCCGGAAGCCCGCAAGATAGTCACAACGTTGAAGACTACCCGTTTGTTCAATGAACCAATTAGATCGCTACCATACTACTCGGTCTGTACCGCAGTAACCAGATTTTGAAAATATTTACCCCCGCAGAATTTACTGTGGGGGACGAAATGTGGGTCCATTTTCGACTCATCTGCATACCAATTTGGTTTTGACGGCAGGCTCACCTGGAGCCCAGCTGCATCTCTCCTTTATGGTGTTCTTAGGTGATCGCATTGTGCCCGGACATCGAACCAGAACTTCTGTTGACAAGTGCATGCAGCACCATCTGATCACAGAAGTACGAAATCAGAGTGGATGTGTCAATTGTTGTGGTGGCACCGCGCTTCCTGGTAGCGCTCATTACATCCGTGAGCATTGCGTGCTGTTGTCTTCTATCGATCTTTATCACCATAAATACACGCATTGAGCTTGTATAACGACCCAAGTAACAGTAAAGGCATGCCCAAAAGCCACCTGCATGAGTGGATTTCTCCTCGTGTAACTCGCCCTTTTCAAATTGGGCCGGGGTGATAAGCATCTTCGATTTATCGAATGCTTTATATAATAAATGAGCCGGTAAAGGAAAATGTTGGGATATTATGTTAAGTGGACGGTGGCTGTTCTAGACAAACAGATCATAAACGTTCCACCGAGGGTAGAAGTGTATTCATATGTGTAGCGCTTCGTTGGATAAGGGACTGATGGTGTGGGGGAGTGGTTGTCTGAGTATTATTAATGGGCGAACTGGACGAAGAGGCGGAAGCATCAAGAAACACGGTTTCGCGTTACCCTAAGATGATTTAAGGAATGATGGACTGTCCAATGATGTAGAGACGTCGAAAGAGATAGTCACCAGAGAAATCCTGCTTCGAGATCCATGGGGAAACACAGACCACCATCTCAGCAATGTGTCAGGGAAGCAAAGGAAACATACTCCCATACATTAGGAACATTTCTGAAATTACTTCAGGGCTGTCAAGGCAACGTAGTATAACCGTGGTCTACAAACCTAAGTCACTTCGGAAAGCATTGGCGATATAAGAAGGAAGTATGGAACCAATGAATGATTCAAGGATTACAACTGCATCAAACAAACTGGAATTAGACAGACTACACGAACACCAACTTGTGGAAAACTGTGGTCAATAATTAGTTAGGAATATTAACTACAGCGAAAGCCACAATAACCACCCAAATGGGAACAGTGAATGGGTGGGGGCGAAGGCGTGTTACAGTGCCGAAAGAGCCATCTACGAGTCATTGAGAATGACCTAGTCTAATTGCCACTCAGGCGAGAGGAGCTATGAATCCGTCAGCCTCAAAACTGTGCGACAAACCAAAGATGAAACCAACATACAGAAAGCCTAAAACTCAACGGACAAAAATAACTCGACCGGTATATTCAAGTGGAATACGGATCAATAAATCTGAGGAACTAACGGAAGAATGGCCGTTGTGTGAAAAATAAATCTACCCCATCAGTCAGTTGAGAGAAATAGAGAATGAGCCAGTCTAGTCTAAAAAAACAATCACTAAAACGCAGTGAAATCAGACCGCAATGCATAACCAAGCGGACCAATTATATTATGAAGACGTTACTCTCCGCTTAACCCATCATGCTAACTTTGAGATACTCTCCAGCAACTAAATGAATGGAAGTGAAGGGACCAAATAATTACTCAACCTATAGAGAAAAATGTCGGTGGCTCAGGTAGCGTAGATGGTCGTTGGCTTGTTCGCTGAGTTGGGCGATTTGATTGCAAACGTTTCATCATCAATCGAGGTGACACCATCAGTGTGTTATTAGGGAGCGCAGTTGTGCGTAGAGGTGGGTTGGTGGTTGTGCACAACCACGCGAACAAGCCAACGGTCAATTACTCAACCGTACACTCACGACATCACAGTGATGAGCGATGAAACGTCTGCAGAAGTGGCAGACTAATCAATTAATTATTTCATCCGGGGTGCGATAGTTCGACGCAGTGCTAGCAGGGCACATTCTAAGTCTGTCTTTTGCAGAGAATGAGTTTGCATCTCCGACCTGATAGATATTAGGACTTATTTACTTCCTCCTGGTTTTTAATTGAGCCAGTCTTGTTTAGACATTGACGTAAGAAAATGTCGGGAGGAATGACATCCGTGGTCGATGAAATTACAGTCACCACTTACTGCACATCTTGGGAGAGTCATCCAGATATATGCGCGCTGCGAGACAGCTGCGCGGGATAAGGACCCATCTGGTACCTAAGAGAGTAATCCCTTGATACGTCGGAAAGAGTATCACAAGAAAGATATGATGAAAACTATCCATGTAATAAATAACAATTCTGGATAATGGCACATTGGAACAGATCAGTCGACATATGCATTTGTGTGTGTGTGTGTGGACAAAAATAACGCAAAAGAAACGCAGCTGAAATACTCGCAAAAATGCATGAACCTTCGTAAGCAACAGCCATAGACTGAAGGTGCAGCTGAATGAAGAATGATCACGAATAATGTGCAACTGAACACAGAATAGCGACAAAAATATCTGAAAATCGTCTGCGATCGTGATTAGTGGTGGAACAGATAGACGATTTAGTAAAAACTAATAAAACGGCTCTGAAGTTGTACGACAACGGTAAGGAAGGACATCTATACGATCTGTTCAATAGTGCTGACGAGACCAGAAGTGTGATCAGTGTGTCGCAAAACAGACAGAAAGACAAAATGCTGAGGAACATTTGAGGTCATATCAGTGTGTTTTCGGTAGTTTCGCAGACATTCTTTTGGATGGCGAGTGTGGGGCGGTGGATAAGGGTGAGACTGGCGAGCTTGTTGGATTAGTCGAACCACGACGAGTCAGTAGAGCCCGGAGAAGGACATGCAATTCTTGTGTTAATGTCTCGTAGCGGTAGGCGATTCGAATATTCGGCACATTGCTCCGAGTGATGTCGTTCCCCATCACACCTTCTTGCATGTAGTTGGGGCCAAGCCAGTGGGACTTAATCTGGAATAAATTAATCAGGTAAATACACACAGTCAGCGCACGATGGTGTGAGATTATCACCAACACCAAGTAATAAGTCCTCATCGAAAACTGGCGCTCAAGAGCGTATAATCACGGAAGAAGGCCCGCGCAAAGGATGGAAAGGAATGGGAAGAGTGGGTACTGACTTCAAAAATCCCAAGTTCCACATGAAAAACGACAAAGAGCGAGGTGCTCACATCACTGAAATAAACACATATGAACACCACGCTGGAACAAGATGCCATCAGTGAGATTAAGCCCGATGTTCTTTGCAAACCTCACCCGACAAAAGCGCAGTACATTTTGAAAGATTATTGTTAACTAGGTAGTTCGGCTAGGAAGTGCCAGCAAGCATGTCTCTGGGATCGGTTCCAATCAAGGAGAATCGCTTGGAGCGCATCCAGGAAGAAGTGAATATCCCACAGCAACCAAAATGGCAATGGTCTCATTCACTCCACCCGTTCTCCGCAGACCTTATGGCAACAGGAACTTTAAAAGAAAAGTAACGTTTCCTTCAGCAAACGGTATTTGGGTTTACGTAGTCAACAACGTCTCAGACAACTTAACCGGAGGAACATCATTTACCACTCGAGCCGATCCGACTCACTATCTGGTTTTCGTATACGTACCGCAAAACATTCAACCAGTTACGCCTGCAATACTATAGGAACACCGACGACCAAATATCCAAAAACGATCGAGCGCTCCAGACTGGGGAGCCCAGGTCAAATGGCAACGGCAGAAGACTCCCCTCACAGTTATCTTGTAAACCCAGCACTTTAACCTCAGTGATATTCGTTCTTGACGTTAAACGTAACACAAGCAGGCAAATACTACTGTGCCTTTGTGACAAGTTCACTGGCAACATCTAACACAGTACAGTCACGGCTGATGCAGCTGTCAAGACAAACAAGACTGTCAACTTACTCAAGCTCCCCAAGCTACAGATGGATATGAGTGCATGTGAACGGGACGGCAGCACTTCTCGCTTTCTGTTTAAAGTAGTTTGTGAGCAAAACCGCCAAAAAACGGAACAACGTCATCCGCATAATCTTCCTCCAGATTACATTTTAGTTTTTTGCGGTCCATTGGGGCCTACACTCCAAGATGGTGTCAGCGGCAAGATGGCTAGGGGGACACTCCTGACTAACTTCACTGGTTGCGGATGAACTTTTGCACAGCTAATTGCGGACCAAAATACGACCAGAAGTATAAGAACAAACGGCATGAGAAATACCCGCATTCCCCTTTAGCTTGTTATATGTAGAAAAGCCTGCGTATCCATGGAGTCGAAGGCACCTTTGAAGCTAACCGGCTGTATGTGCGAAGCTGCCCAAGCACTTGACGTAGTATGAAGATGTAATCTATGCGCCCTTCACAGGGTTGAAATTGGGTCTGGTTCTTCCGAACCGGTGTCTCGGGTGATGAGGTCAGACGTCGAAGCGTTATTGAGGCAGCGGTCACAGCTTATGTTCCTATGGCTACAGCAGTACCTTTTTGGAAGAGGCGCAATGAACGATTGGGCACAGTTTACCGGAAGACACTCTAGTCCCCAACTTAGTTTGAACGACTGGGTAAAAAAAGGTTCACCATCTTCTTTGCCGTATGAATGGCGCTGCTTATCTCGTCACAGGTGTGATTAAATTTTTCTGATAACACATCTTTTAGCGCTTCCCACGGGTTACCTTTTTTAAAGGAAATTAAATAATTAATCTCTTCGACAAGGGATTCAGTTAGTCATCCTGCACAAACCAACCTGGTGTTCAAATGGGTGCATTTCGCGAACTTTCTATGGGTTAGTTCGACGAGATCGTCTAAACTGTGGGTCAGAAAGTTGTCCGATGGACTAAACGAAGTGCCTGGTTTTAAAGCGTTCAGGAAAGTATGTCGAAAATTTACACCGGATGACAGCATGACCTAAATCAATGTGAGTGGTCCAGAAAAATTAAGCCTTGTCTCCGAGACAATCTGGCTTCATGGTTGTCCATCAATAGACAGAAGCCAGGTAGTGCGATGCAATGCTACTGCGAAACAAAAGGTGAGCAGTAGAAAGCTGCGAAAATACGACGGTTGTTATAACGGCTTCAAACTTAGCTGAACAGGCCTTCGATGAACTTAGACAACCTACTTGTGCACTGAGGTCACCAGCGAGTAGGATAATACCTCACCGTGCTGGAGCGGGATAGTGATTAGTTCCCGATAAAAAAAACAATCAGAGCTAGAGTTGCATTGCACATATGAAGAACGACTATGATCTCGGCTAGTACCGTTTCGCATGGAGGTTGACAAACGAACAGCGCAAAGGCCATTATTTAAACGGACTCAGCCGAGTTAGGAGGTCTTAGCTCGGGAGATAAGAGCTACTAAAATACCCAGGGTAACCCACTTCGGCTGGGGCAGAACAACCTGAAGTTTGTAAATGGCAATGTCTATATAACAAAATTATCATCATCATCATTGTCAGCTGTAATAACCGCGTACTTGTCGTACAGTGGTCGGAGCTACCAGTTTCGAGCACCGATGATTCGGGGAGGTGGGGTAGGTAGCTGCGCGTTGGATACGGGAGCTGATACGTTAGTACGTAAATACAGCACTGTAGGTAGACTGTTAAGTGGGGGAATTGGGAAGGGAGCTATGCATTGGAGGCAATAGCTTGGATGCATGAGCACCATTGAGGGCCATGTCTGTAACCATTGATATGGCCCACCTAGAAGTCCCCATCTAGGAAGACGGCAATGAACGGCGCAGCTGATTTTGCAGGTACTGGCTTTCATACTTCGCTGACAAGTCATCGTTTGACCGCCTCTGGCTCTCTTCTACCCTACACGTGGCTGTGCGAAAAAAGCCCTTCGAGGAAGTCGGTCGACTGGCATACGCAGCACGTGGCCAAGCCACCGCAACCTATGCAGTGTGATCGGTTCATCTATAGAGGGTGAGTTATTTCTCCCGAATACCATTCGACTTCAGCATTGCTGATCCGGTGTTCCTACCAGACTCGGACAATGCTCCGAAGACATCGATGGTCAAACACAAAGTTTTTTGACGTCCTCGGCAGGCAGCGGCAAGTTTTCTGGTCCCTGTAGTAATATAGAGCTCACCGCAGACCGAGTAATGAAAACAATCTTTTACAAAATCCTGAACGTGACAGAGCCACAATGACGTTAAGGTGAACGTAAGCAGGAACAGCTCCATGAAGCAATCCTGCGAACGGAGTGTGCAAGCACTATCATTTTTAGTTCGGAACTCTGCTACTGTTAGTTCGAAAGTAGATGAAACTAACAGAAAAAAAGAAGGTATGTTGGTTCAATACAACATACCGGTCAGGCACGTTTCGGAAATGTCAATGCACTGGTACGGTATACAACGCAGTAAACGCGTTCTCATGGACGAATTTCTTTGGGATGAAGTAGCTAAATGAATCCGAAAGGAGGTAGGAAAAATTCCCAATATGCACTGCGAGATTATGCAGAATGGTGAGTCCGCATGCTTGCTAGTCTGAGACAGTTGCAGAAACTATAGTGTGAAAATTCAATAAACTAATAATTTTGCAATGATTTTGCAGGTCACAGCAGCGTGTTGTCCACTCTGATAGCTGTCTAGCCAGTTTACATCTGAACAGCTGCCTTTGCAAACCAGATGGAAGTCACATCATTACCCGTCAACTTTACGAGCAGGTATAGTCTTTTGTAAAGCTGAGTTGTTGCCTCATCTTACCAATTGACTGATGCCCAACCACGGAGTACTGGCTTTTACACAATCCTGCACTGCCCCCCAGAGGTTCGAATTTGTGAAGCAGGTTGTGTGGGGCGAAGTTAAGATAAAAGGCTAATGGTGGCTCACGATGGGTCGTGAACAACTAACAGCGAGATGGACAGAACTGTCCATTTGAGGAGATGGGTGACTTACCGTGTGCGAAAAGCCACTCATGAGAACACTGTTTCGAGCCAGTTCACACATATCAATAGAAGTCAACTTCCACACCTGAGTGGCGATACTGTACTCCTCAATAAGCGGTTCTTTGGTAAAGTGGAACTGAAGTGGATCGTCGGTGCTCAAGCTCACATTCAATCCCTTGGACAGATAACTGTTCAACGGATTGCGATGATAGTCCAAGAAGAGCGAATTGTTACTCAGTGGAGACATGGCGATACCAATCTAGAGGGGAGGTCAGAAGGGTTAAAACCTAAACGACTGAACTGTTTGAAGCGAAAAAAATCCGAATACGAGCAAATAGCGTACATATTTTGAATGCAATTTTAACTAAGAGTCACCGGCTGATTGGTTGAGCAATGTCATGAGGTCTGCCTTTGGAGTAGCACTCGATTCAAGCCTGGGAGGTGGATAAGGCAATCACGGTAACGGAGGACAATTCACAACAGAAGCCAATTTCCCCTTCCTCTGTGGTGGTTTTTCCTCGTGGTATAGCAATCCTGCCTCACAAGACCAACAATGGTCTCTTTTGGGGGTCACAACCTTGGCGGCTTTCTTCAAATTCTTTACTACTTTTAGAAAATGAATATTCATTCGGCTCAGTGCACAAGTTATGACGGAATTCGCACCATACCAGTCAGCAAGGTAATGGGTGAGCTGTTGTATCGGAAAAAATTATTCCACTTGATGAAGCACACTTAGTTGCAAATTACAAAGGCGTTAACCAGAGATTTCACTGAATCTCGAAAGTTTTCAAGAACCTTATGAACAGTGTGTCATGCCATGAAAATATACTGCGGCACCTCAAATATTCGAAAAAAATCATTTAGCTGTAACACCCTCACGGTGCCTAGCTTCCGTGCCACCCAAAGGAAGCACGAGGGCTGGGATACTGCCAGGTTGCCGAAGCCCAGACAGGGAAAGTCGAGGGGCACAGGTCAGGCTTGAACCGCGGACCTTCCAGTCAGTAAAATGGCACTCTAACCACTTGAGCCATCTCAAATATTGCACGACCCAAAACATGAAGCGGTCTTTGTGCATCAGTCGATGATTGATATGAGCCTCTCATAGACCCAAATGCAACGTGCTAATGACTGCATCTTGTCAATTGCACACAATTTTGTGTTCATGTGAGACATTAGGTTACAGGAAACTTGGGACTACTCCTGCTTGATGAGCACCAAGGAGGTAGCGGGGTTGTCAAAGAGCTATCAGCAATTAGCGAAATGCACTCACTTGCAAACCAATTTGGTTTTGCGAGACACTCACCTGAAACCCAGCTGAATCTCTCGTTTATGGTGTATCGCCATGTCTCGAATATCGTACCAACTGAAACATGAGGCGGCCTGATGTGGCACATTCATTTGCTTGAAAACATCCCCCGTCGAAACCAAACGGGTATGCGAGTGAGTGTATTTCGTGAAAAAACTTATTTTAATTCAATATAATTAAGGACGCCCACCTGATTAAAGGGCAGATAATGAAATAGTACGGCAAGTCCAACCGTTTGTAATATGCATAATTCTATGAAGGAACGAGGGACTGGCGACGTGTTCAGGGTTCACTAATCAGCATCTGTTCATGCGCGCCAGGATGTTCACCAAACATCCGTCCCCACACGACCTCGTACTTTACTCAGAAAATAAAAGAACAACTATCCGTTTGTCTTAGAACTGGAAAGGTCAAACACGTGACCGCCACAATAAATGCTCACGTGATTGATACAAACCATCCGATTACTCCGAACATAGAACGTTTAGCAAGAATGACATTACAGATTGCAGTTTCCAAGCTGACATCAATGATCACGTGATAACAACTTGATCAAGGAACTGAATGCACGAAACCTATCACATTTCTCAAGTATAAAGAATCATTCCTGGACAAAGACCTAAACTTACCTGTGCCAGGTAGTACAGGTATTGTAAAACAGGAGCCTTGCGAAGAAGCAGACCGTGATTAATACTTTCGGCAAGCAAGAAACATGTCACCAAATGGTGAAGATTGCCAGCCTCTCCACAGTGTGGTCTCAAAGCGAAAGTGTTCAGACCACGGTAGCTATAGGGGAGGATAGGATATCGAAAAAAAAGTATACAGATATAGGTAAGTGGTTAGTTCGGAGATGAGTAACACCGCTGATTAGCGAATCCGCCGTCTTACTTAAGGTTATGCGACGGACTCCCCCTAGCGAAGACCAAAGGGCTGTTTGAATGGCTCTTTGACCCGATAATGTGAGACAAATCACGGCGATCAAAAAATAAATCCAACTTGCAATTAAGGGATGCGACTCGTGGGGTGATTGGGGAACTTGACAATCATAAATAAGGTAATTGCGGAAAAATGAAATCTTCAGTACTACACAACTTTCATTGAGAAGTACAAGGCATTGTTGTTATTCCTGTCAAAGAGCTCATCCTTGGAAATTCTCTACTCTTACTCAGCTGTAATGGCCTTACACCCACAGTAAGCATTCACAGACAGTAATAGATATGACAATAACATTAAGATGATCGGTCAGCTGTAGCATGTTTTCAGCGTCTAGCTACCATGCTACCCGGAGGCTGAGATATTGTCCTGCGACCCAAACCCACGCCGGTTTTTGGGTTCACACCCCAACCACTAAGCTATCTCAGGAAATGCGTTCACATCTGACGAGGATCGTCGTAACCAAATCAACATTTCGATGGACAGATTGGGTTTTTGAAAAATACCACCTGAAAGCTCATACGTAAATGTGAAGTTTAGTCGGTCATTCCTGTTAGGCAAACGGGTAGACCGTTGTTGTTGTGTGCTTAGTTGGTGTGATCTCAGTCACACCGTAGTCAGACCGAAAGTAGCCACATTGCATCACTGCAGCGAAACGAGAGACAGAACATAACAAACACAGAGACATGAACGCCACGTTTAAATTCCGTCGCTTATCGCAAATCACTCATCGATACAAACTTTTGGTCCAGTGTGTTTGGCCAAAAACCAAAGACCAGAGTTTGTAGATTTTTTCGTAGACTTCACATTCAACATTACGACTGCCCTGAAGGAGTCACACTTCCACAATCCAAAGTCTGAACATGTTCCATAACCGAAACAACACACAATCACATGAGAAGAACCATTGCTGACCGGTACGAACAGGATCGCGTTCGGTGCACGTGACAATGAAAGTTTGAAAAAAAAACGTACGCAGAGTGAATGCCTGCTCACCTTCTGAACTGGTTCAGCTGGGTAAGATTCGCGTACATATAAAATATGTAGTAGGAATAGGGCGGGTTCTCCGGAAGACAATAGTTCTCTGGTGTTGGAGTTGTATGATTGAAAACGAGCTTGTCAGATTTGGACTCATCGTCAACAGAGTCAAATCCTGTTACATTTGCAGGAATGNGCAGCTCTGGGTGGGATTTGGGGTCCGCTGTTACTTCAAACAACGGTTGAAACACATTGGTAAGAATATCCTGTAAGTCCGAGAAACAGCAAGATTTTCGGGTTTAACTACTCGAATATACTTCTCATTAAATAGGGAATTATTGCGGCTCGATTAAAAAAATAACCAATTGAGTCCGAATCCACTAAAGGAAACGAAACAGTGGGGGTAACTTGTGAGAAACTTGTCAAACAGCCAACGCATGGAGCTGAGATAAACAAATTGTTAGAAGAATGGGTAAAATGGACAAAACTAGCCTGATACAGTACACAAAAGTACGTGGATAGGTGGTGCTTTAGTTTGACAGGACTGGTGACACACAGAGACTGGAAGTCGACGTCGAAGAGAACCGGTTTAGTGACAAGTAAAGTGAGAGGCGAGACGACTGGGCAGTCATATTCAACCAGGACTACGGGGGTATCCCTCTGAAACCTAAACTCTGTGTTGAAAAGACATCAGCATGAGAGCAGAAATCATACAGTCTCTTGTCGCCAAACTCCGTTATACCGTCATTCTTTCTGAAATTGACTTCCTGGGCTTCAGTCGAAATTATCTACTGCATCTCCTGTTGCACCGACGTCCGGTTGCCAAACAAACAGACTGTCCCCATCACAAGACAAATATCAGCGCACCGTACCTTCATAACAACCGTCTTCCGGTCACCAAATCAACTTTACTTCCACTGAGATGCACCACCATGTGGGGAGCTTTGAGCAAGGGCCCCGAAGGATCAAGTTCCCACAAATGAGCTATAGACAGACGCTGGTGAGACTGACTCGCGGTCAGAAGCAAAAAGCGGGTGGGTGGAAAAGGTCGATCCTTGATCTACAGGAGGCAAACAGGCTATTGTTCCGCCGAATGTAGAACACCAGTGGATCCCTTGAACACTCCAATACAAAACTCTACTATTATTATTATACTTTATTTACCGCTCGAGGAAGGTTGGTTGATGTTCAATACGGGGCTCAAACATCATCCAGATGCGAATTCCTCACCGCAACTTAACTCTTGTGATAGTCCCAGGTCAGTGACTAGAAGAGGGCGTTTTGGGTACGGGCATCAATGTAGCCGGGTCACTGAAGCATGTCCGCAATTTCAAGGAGAAATTCGAGCGAAACACGTGACATTAACTGCCAACGTCAAGCGTCCTTAAAACTTTCACAATAGAAAAAGCGAAGCAATAAATAAAGCGAAGCAACGACTATGTTGACTCCACTGATTTTCGCCCACAGTAGGGAACACCACACTACATTGGTGTACGATTTTTTGGAGCACTTAGATCGTTTATCTTGATTCAGCCTATGGTAGTACTCTGAGGGAAGAAAAAATTTGATATATTTGAGGGATGGAGGTGGAAGCAGTTTGGGAAAGTAGAGGGAACACTGTTGATGAACAGAAAAGACAGGAACTGAATATGTCCGCAGGCTTATTTTAGGTAAAACAGGTCAAAAGGTGCCATGAATCCATCCAAGGCTTTAGAAATACAACGACTTTTACCGACACACATCTGGCTTCCTCGAACTGATGACTTTCGTAAAGACTATGAGAACTACACTGAGATAAACTAGTTACTGAGTGCCGGGAAACGTTGCGACTATATTTCTCGCCGTTCCACAGTGATTGAACACTGCGTCCTGTGCAGATTCCGAAGTGTATAAACTATCTGTGTGATTGGTATGATGCCACTGCGTCCGAAGATAGTAGTAGAAAACGTGGCTCACAAACAGACATGATAGGTTTTTGGGGTATCAGATCGTCTACACAAGTGAACATAAACTGACGAATGCTACGTTCAGAGTTTGCCACTAGTTGCTTATCAGGGTTACAGTGATTGAAACGATGGGTCGTTGGCTTGTGTTCGCTGAGCTTGGCAATTTGATTGCAAACGTTTCATTATCCGGAATGACCCACCGTTCTCTAGAAAAGCGCCACTACGAAGTGCTGACCTCTGGATCGATATTTCGAAATAAGCCATCCCCAAGCGAGAACTAAATAAGCTACATAGGTGTGCTCAGGTGATCAAAATCACGACTGTGAACCCCACATTTATGGTACAGAACGGGAAATGTGGATAGCGAATGGAATAAACGGCTGTAAAAATGTACCTGAAAATATTTCATTGAACCTTTCGCGTGATATACGTCAAACAGACGTGGTACTTGGATCAGCCAACGCACGTTATCGGAGTAAACCTGACAATTTATGGCCCATTTGGCGAGATTATCCCACTCATTAATAGAACGTCCGTAGATTGACAGTCGCGGCTCTGCATTCTGATATTTGGACTCGGCCAAATCTGCAAACACTTCCTGAAATAGCACACATAGATAGGAAGATATGAGCAAAAGAATGGGACAAACGTGGGAAAAAACACATGATGTGTGACCAGTGACAGATGGCCACGTCCAACAGGCTGACACGTTTACTTACTACTCATAAATCTTTCCGTTTGGATGCTATTAAGTCAAAAATGGAAACGGAACGGCAGCTATCTAAACAGCCAACATTCCACTAAACAGCAGAAAGAAAAATCACTGGTTGACGTCCACAGACTACACCTACCTAACAGGCTTTAAAGGGGACGAGACTAGCTAGACGCAGATTTTGATAAGGTTTCGCATACTACATAGAACCGTTGATATACTTTTGTGCTCAGTTGTACTTTTTCCATGGAATAGCCTATCCTCAGTGAATTGTTCTGATCCTATCAACTAGTTATCAACCTTCCCAAGAGATACCTTGTGATCTACTCACATCGTTTCACTGTGTTTGTCCCGCCGTACAGTTCAATTGCCTAGAAATTCTAACGAAGGCATCGAAGCTCACAAACTACAGCGATCTCTGCTCAGTCATAGTCTGATAATGCCAACAACGAGTAACAAATGAAAAAGCTGTCCAAAAACTGGGGCAAGGGGAAAAAATTGTGATAATGATAAAGTGCAAACGGAGATGCAACCGAATACAGGTGGTGTGAGGCACACAAGAGCTGGTAAACCGAATACCAAGCTGTCAAAGGCAAAGTTTGGGTTGGGCATCTGTGTTCTACATGCAAGTCCAGAAACAAGAGCAACACGAGAGCAAAAGTCCAAAAATCGCGATTGAAATTCACAGTAAAATAGTGTTTAGTGAAACACGAGACATGAGATGATAGACAGGTAAGGAGATAGCGAAAGAAATTTGTCTGAACATGATGCACTGAAGCCGAAAGGTTACGCCCAAACGTGAGCGTGGGAGGAATAGGCGGGTACTTTCGAAATAAAACGGACTATGCTGAATTTTATAGGTCTGCTTATAAAGCCTACGGAAACTCACTAGAATTAGCTAAATACAATCATGTGCATACCAAATGGTTTACAAGACTCAAACGAATCCCAGCTGAATCTCCAGCTCTTCTTCAACCGAATGTACTGCTTAATGAGTCGTCGAAGAATTTTCAGCAACCTTATGAAGTATGGTGACTATAGGAGGTGACTCAGGATATGGTACTCCCACCTACAAGGAAACAAGTGTATCTAGTCGTATAGGAAAGAGAGTTGTAACTTGGATAGACTACGGCATTTCAAAACAGCCAACAGTTGGGAAGAGAGTACTGAACACTGACGAATGGATGAAGTCTAAGGATATCATGATTGCATACAACACGACAATCTACAAACAGGTCCCAATTGGGAACCTTGCTAGAAAATGATTACTTTCGAGAGATCACTTCCAACTTTTAACCACTTAAGACGTTTTCTATAGATAGTTTCCCTTCCAAACAGAAGTAGGATGCAAAACTCGTGTTCTGTGTCTTCTTTCAAGTAGGGACATGACAATCAGCACTACACATGAATTCGCCCCAAACGTAGTTGAGGCATCCAAACATGACGTTCATTTACACGTACCTGGAATACTACATTAATCCGTTGCAAGTAAAGCCCACCGAACAGAATTTACTGCCCTGATTGGGGCACAGTTGCGTACTCCGTCACCCACGAACAAGCTGATAGATCAAAGTACATGGATCCCAATGGAAGCATGTTAACCTAAATACGGACCAAAAGTTGAACAGCAAGGTTGGAAGATCAGCCACATTCGTTCCATTTAGTAGGAAGTTTCAGAATTTTCATGTGGTCCAATGACCCTCGGGCTTTTCGGATCGTCCCTCACCATCGCTGCTTATGTATATTACGCGAGCAGTAGAAACGGGAACAGAAACTAAAAACATCTTAAAAGCCACACTGATGTAAACACTCACTTTAAGTTGTGGCCAGCACTTTGTTGGAACCAGTTGTCAGTCAATTAACTATACTAAATATACAATGATAACTCAATGGATACCGAACTCCCACAAAAAAGAACACACTACGGTTCCGTGAGATTCCAACAATGACCAAGGTGCGCAATTCGTGCACTGAGCTTTCATGTATTTCTTTAGACCAGTTAGGTCTATAACATGATTTTCAACTGTTTGAAAGTATCATCTTGCAGGTGAAAACGGTTGTAACTGGGCATTTATGAGTTCTTCAGATGTTTAGGTTTCTCCTGGACCCAGTATCGACGGAGATCACCTTTAGTGAGTACTTGCGAGCAGGCTCCTGAGTTGGAATAACACATTGCTATTTACAGAGAGAATGCACGCAAATTTCCCTAGGGTCTCAAGTGCCATTCATATTATCAGTTTGTACCTGAATAGGTCTTTAATACTCTATCCTATACCATATAATACGTTACCGACTAGTCCGGATGTGTTTCATCCCTTTACTTATTATTCAACTATATGCGTCACTTAGCTGTTTCCTCGATTTGTATTCTCCAAGTTCGCGCTGCCCAACTATTCCTTTTGCATTCATACAACTCGTTATTTCTCGTTCATCAGCAATATAAACAAATCCGATTGGTCGTTTCTTTTTTCGCTATTGTGCTGCACCAGCTGATTTCTGGTCTGTTCGTTGAACTTGGTTATTGGTACAGCACAGCGAATCTACGAGTCTTACTCTGATCTTTTGACGGCCTTTCGCTAGAGGTAGAACGTCCATAGCCCTTGCTGGCGACCTCACGGTACCATGGGTGACCACAACAACCCTCATAGCAAACTTTGGAACTTGAATTTGCTCATATCCTTCTAACTTAGCAGTTCGCACCTAGTGATAAAATAACAATCATATGGCGCATAATTACTCTGCTTGCTTTCGAACAGTGTTTCCGTTTTGTAATCACATCAGCCGTGTATAAGTGCCCAAAACAGTGTTCGGGTTGAATACACTTTCGTCTTGGAACTTCTAATCAACTGTCGTCCTTAGAGAACACATGAGGAACGATGAACGATCTACAGTGGTCACTTGGACTACTGCTCACCAAAAGGAGAATTTAACCGTGCGCCCAAAAAACCAGCGCAGACAAGTGACTGACCTTCAATACATGGGCAAAGAAAACGCCTTTAATATAATTGTCCGTCTTGAGGAAGACTTCTCGAAGTCGACTTTGACCGATGGGATTGTACTTCGCGTTGAACTTATCGAACCGATGGAAGGTGTTGCGATCCTGAGCGGAAAGAAACCACAACAGTAATATATCATTATAAATGGGAATAATCTTACCCAAGGAACAATCTTTCAAAGTCATGACGGTTTCAGCTCACCCCCCGTTCCTTGACAGACTTATGATGTGATTGCTCAGAGAAAGTGACCACTACGATTTGGGTAGAGATAAGGTCGTGCTGTTTAACGGATAAATAGGGTTGATTGGATGGTGCGACCGCCCCCACGCCCAACGTCATCAATCTCTGTATTACTCCAACCACGCAAATAGTTAAAACAAAAAAGGTATTGAAGCGGCCTGTCAGAAGAAGACAAACAGAACAGGCCAAGTTATGTCACCAGGTTAAATGTTGCTCGGCCGTTCAACTTTCTAAATGAACCCCAGGACTACCCACTGCGTCACGATGTCTGAATACCAGATCCAATGAACTCGGAGCTCCAGCAAATCAGTGTTTCGGAACCATATTGCTGATAAATTATACGGTGTCCTTCGGGATTTCAGGAGTCAGTTCATCCAGTCAACCGCATTCAACTGAAAATTCCCTAAATGGGACAGCATTGTAAAACAAATCAGTAACTACAGTGAAGGAGATTGGTGGACGACCCAGATTACAGGAGGAAGCGTAGCAGAAAAACTACCAAGGACCTAGTCGCTTGCAAAGTTACTAACGTGGATTGAAGTTTCGCGGTCACCAAATAAACGCCCCCAACAAGAGTTCAATAAGTTGCAAACCACCATATGAAAACAGCAGTTTGGTTGCAGAAGCTCCAGTACAAAGGTGTCAGTAAACTAACCAGAATAGACTATGAAAACGAACAAGACGGATCAACCCAAGGTTCTATCATACACACACACATACACTGATAAGAATCATTCAGTGTAACTCACCGCATGAACATCCAGATTGTCGATACTCAGATCATAGGCGGTAACACCCACTTGGTCTATCAGCTGAGGGAGAGGGCAGAACAGAAATCGATTTTCATCATATCTTTGAAAATATAATATAAGTAGAGTGAACACACAAAAATAACAAAAGGGAAGGCAAAGAACCTGTAGAAACAGGAGATTATGAACAAAAATCACAATTTCATTGGTCAACCGGTCAGTAGACTCCGAATAACCGGACAGCTTGTGTAAACAGCTACATCAACAGAAACCTCAACATTTACTGCCACCCAGCAATTCCTTTCTGAAAAGGTCGATCAAGTTTCGATTCTCCGAATAAGGTTATACCTGCTGAAAGAAGCTTCGTGGCGGAGGAGACCGAGAGGGACCTCCACTGAGGAGTGATCACTCTCAGATGGGGAGTAAGCCTTAAAAAGTCTAAAAATACGGTCCCAAACGATAGGCCCGATTAAACGTGACAAAGAAAGACTGAGAAAGATAGACAGCCCGGATGGGTATATATTCACCAGCAGTAATGATAGGTCACATAATCAATCAGCTTTACGACATTTATAAATACACTTATATGGTAATGGACAAACCTGTTGCAAAGTCATCGGTTGACCTGTTTTTCGATCTTCGCAAACAAGCACATCTCCCTTGGTTCGAATAGTCTTTTTGATAAATCTCAAAAGGTGTTTCTGGTTCATACAAGAGGCTGCGTGAAGATGCGTGTCCACCTAAATCGAGTGAGCAAGAGACAGTGAGAAACAGATTGTGCAAAATTAAAAGATTCGATTGGTGGTGTACAATGGCGGCAGTACAATGCTACTTTGTACTAGACAGAGCATACCCACACAATAGAGTCAATTAGGGTAGAATAATAAGAACTTATTCGCTATTATCAATTAGGTACAACAGTGGATGCATCTGAATATGGGGCGAGTCTAGCATAATTGCAACTGCTCAAATTGAAATGTGCAAAGAGACAGGGGTAATAGAAACAAACAAAATCGCTTTACGTTAGGGTCGCTGTCACCAACAATCACCATCAACAGTATGACGTCAGTGCTAAACACTGATGCTTTGATGCCATAAAACTGTGATTTAGGTGAAAGCCCTATTGTGAGGAAAAGAATAAGTGAATGGGGAATGGACTTGCGCTAGCTTATTGCAATCATTCCGGGGTGCCTACACCTCCAGACACTCAATTTGGATAGAAACTGACAAGAACGTCACTGACATCGATCACCAGCCATATCTTGCAGCATCTCCAACCAGGCACAGTGATGATTATGCGATCCCCATCTTGGAAGGCGGGTAGCACAAACACCACCCAAACGTTTCGAAATGTCTTTCATACCCCTCTGCCAGGTGAGTAGTTGGCTACCTCTCCGCTTCTACCACATTGAACTGGGAACGGAAAATAGAATCCTCTTTGACAAACGATAGTTCATCATGCTCAACACAAGACCTAACCAACGCAGCTTCTGGTGCTGGACAAATTCTTCCATGGAATCCCCGTTGCGCAACCGAAAATACGCTTTCTAATTGCCTCGTTAGGAATTTGCAAACACCAATCCACACGAGCTATGTTTCCGGGACTACGGTTGTCAAACTCCTGGGGATATCAGTTCCGCTGCTCGAACAGGCCAAGTCTCATAGGCATACAAAAAACAGCCCACACTGTAGTCTGATACAAACGTCCCTTAAGATTCAGGGATATACCGCTTTGACGCCCACTGACCTAATCTGACACACTACAACTGGAACCAATGAAACTTCCAAGATACGTAAACGCTTCTGAACTTCGGGTGCCTCTCCCTGGATTGTGAGTGGTGTGTTCAGTGATTGTATGTCCAAAAGCATTAACTTACACTTTGTGGGTGTAAAGTTCATGCCAAAAACATGCGCTTTTTCTTCCCCTTCGAAGCTGAGAGATGAGCAATCAGCATTGCAAGATTCGGCTCGCACTTGGAGGGATTCATCGGCTGCTTATGGTAGGTTTGAACTGGTCCGAACCTTGAAACTATGATAAGTTCCCTTGATAGAGACTGGTGACTTCGGTTCCTGGCGGGGCAGGTAACATCGTTCACGAAATAATGACCAGTTCGACCTTACATCAATCGAATAGGGGATAGTACAGGCGGCCAACATAAGCCGGTTTCTCCAAGTGTTGTGGTACCGTGAGAATCTCATGAACCAACAGCCGTATTCCCATTTAACGTTGTGACCATGAAAAAGTTGAACACAGTGGGCGATAACGACTAAGTTGATGCTGTCGTCCAGAAACCAACATGGAGGACTTGGGATGTTCGCCACTGTCACCCAAAAGAGCATGTGACTAGTTTCAATATGCACATCTGACGAGCCACAATGAAGGCGAAACTTTATGTGGTTGAGTTACCAGAGTAACAGTGACAGCATCCTTAGCGTCAACACTAGTTCGCACACAAGCAAAACATGATGAAGAATGGCGAATTCTATCGTGCAAGGTAGGCAGATCCCTGAGAGGAAACACGAACTACTTAAAACCCTATCGCTCTGGAAAGCATTCATCACCAAACGGTGAGTGCGAAAGTCATCGGAAAAACCTAATGGAGCCAAATAGATCGTTAAAAGCACACAGCTGACGACCGAAAAGCTGTCAGGATGCCACGAGAAAGAAGATGAACAACAAGGATCAGGGGTAGGAAATGATGACATGTCAAAACCTACTTTTCGGATATTATAAAAATCACGATGAGAAACTCGTTTTTGCTCCAACGACTCCCTAGCCTCGTTCAGTAATGAGTGCAGGGCGAATTTCGAACCGAGGTAAGTCAAACGGCGATAGCAAAAAGATTTGAGAGGACCGTCAGCAACAAACGCACGAATCATGTCATAATCGGCTAGGTAGGAACTGAGACTCGGTACCACGAATTCCCAGTTGTTTCCAGTTGATCCGAAACGGCCTCCACTCGGAGGTAAGACGTGCATGATGCCTTTTCGGAATTCCAGACTGACATCCACTGGTTCCGGCCAGTAAGTGACTGTGAAAGGGTCACCGGTTGTCTCTGGTGGGTTGATCGGGTGATCTGTAAACATGGAATTACAAACGGCCGGTTTAGTAATTGAGTGCCTCTATTTAAAAACTTAACCCGGGTCGGATTAGAATGAGGGGAAAACTATCACCAGCGGGTCAACTAAGTGAGGTACGAAAACATCACGTGAAAATTCTGCATGCTTTATGAAACAATAAAATGAGCCGAGATACGGGCCGTTCCAAATGGGAATGACACCTATAACCCAGGGAAAGATGAGTACGGAGTGATTAATATAAGAAAGCCACCTCAAACATCGGATCCCATTAGGGTGTGACACGGTATTATGATACAGAAAATTGTACAAGTAGACAGACTTCACCGAAAGGCTCGTCGAACATGCCCGCGGTATGCCCACAAAGGGCATTCCATTTCGGACCAGCTTAGCCATCGGTGGACATCAAACGGTTACCGAAAGCCATAACCACCTAACAATGCTCAAGAAAGGCGAGGGAAACGATGAGACAATGTAATAGTGGAGATAGAGACCAAACGAAATACGCAGAACAAATTGCACCGTTTGCCGGACACAAAACAAAACCCCTCTTGCGACAATATTGCCCGATTTTTCAGGTACAGGCCTAGTTATTAAAACTTGCCCCATTGTGGAAACGCTGACAAGTTATCAGGTATTACTCCAGATTACCAATATACCGCGGATTGAATGCTCACCATTGAGTTACGGTACCAGGAGATACATTTGCAGTTATTAACTTCAGAAGTCATAAAGTTGCGGTATCCAAAACATGTGTTTGTGCAGCACGGAAAGAAAACACTAGAGACGATAGAAAATGAAATCTACTGTTCATTCGGGTATGAAAACATCGGGTCACAAAAGGATGCAAGAGGGTCCATGCTGGAAAATAATCAGAAGAAGGTTTGAAGAAGCATTCGTCAACTTCTTCCATGCGAAAAGACCGCACTGAAAAGCCGATGTAGAATACCTTTTGTAACATTTCCGTCGAAGGTTCCAGTGACGGATCCTTCAGCCGGGGTTAACGAAATCCTAGAAGGAAAGGCTGAAGATAAAAGGATAATAGAGGGTGAAAACAGACTGTACAAGCCACCGAAGGACGCACAACAGTACGTGCAACAAGTCTATCACGAAGCTGGATCGGTCCACCAAACAGTGCGGGAAGAACACACAGGAAAGGGCTACACAAGTTGTTTCCCCAAAGTAAGCAAATACGACTGTGATTCGATCGGAGCGTATGGAACAATGGCGGGATAAAGGAAGCGTGAACAAAAACCACCAAATGGTTCTAGCGATGTATTGTGAGAAGAATCACTTCTGGTGAGTTAATAGCTCCAAAACATGTTTGTAGCAATAAATAAGTTGAATGAAAGCTGAAAAAATACAGGCTCCCAGTGATTCACTTTAGCCCTCTCATATAGGCCCCTTCTCTGTGAGTTCTCTGATAATAGAAGGTGAGACAGTGTGGTTTTTCTGTCCTGTGCATAATTTTTTAAAACTTGATAAATGGTGCACTTTTGTCACTGAGAGAGATAAAAAGAGGTAGAGCACTGCAACTACGAAACGTGGTTCACCTTCAAGAGCTGTTCCACCGTCTCCACGCATGAATTTCTCAAAACTGAATGAATGGTGCACTCTAACCAGAGAACCCTGACGATGAAAGATCAATCACACCTGAACACACAAGATGAAATTGAGCCTGGACTAGGAACACACCTAAGGGGGTAGCAAATCTCTCCGCGGCGGAGTCGCTTTCCTTTGGGAGAACCGATTAATGCTGCCTCATAACCTGGTGAACCACAAACTCTGCCTTTTATTTTATGTTCTCAGTCAGGTGGGACCTTCAGTCACAAGTCACCGCAAAATAACAGCATGCTGAAGCATAGGAAGACCACCGTCAGGGTGGTACAGATTGGTACGATCAAATAGCTAAGCCCAGGCGAGCCGAGACACCCTCAACTGACTCCAAATTTACACTCCCTTGCATTAAAGTCTTATCATGAGGTCCAATTACAGTAATGCATGGAGATCAAGACGATCGGTCTTCCACATCACAACAACTAATGAGCGATAACTGTCTCGTCTCAGATAGTCGGATGGGAAACAAATTGTAGCAAATTAGTGATGTAAGCTGGGAGTTATGCCTGGATGACGCAGATTTTGTGTGCCTTTTGTGGGTGTTAAACAATCCGATGGTAGTTGGCTAGGCCGCTGGGAAAAGTCGTGCTACACGTGTTCCTTCGCGATTTGCCGGTGTAATATAAAGCAATGCGGCGTTCCCTCCTTTTTGGGACCCGATTAAATGACTCAGCTCGAATACTGCAAGGGGTTTCCTTGCTAACATATGAGTGAGAATATCTACCACGAATATGGCAGTGGAAGCTGTTCCAAGCTGCGAAAATTCTCCTAATAAGGTTTCTTTTATGAAGGGATACCGCGTTATAAAAGACCATCCGGTATCTTCAGTCAAAAGTGAACAATACTTCAGCTCAACACCTCATTCGATATAATACGGCAAAGTGAAAGTACTAGAAGCCTTGGTAGTTACACTGTGAGTCGCTCCTGAGCAGCTTCAAAGATGTCCTTACTGGAAAACGCTACATCATTGCAATGCTGCGTAAGATCCCCTCTAGTCCTCCATTTGCCTTAAATGAAAACTTCCGGACACCGTTTAAAGTGGAACTTCCAAACTTGTCCCGTGTCCCTATTCCGTAACATGTATTTCCTATTCAAATCCCTCCTCCTTTTCCAGTACGTCCGATTTCACATAGATTCGTATTTCGCGAGTCTTCACATCCTAGTATGCATTGAAAGAAGATTCAAAGTAATTTCCTTGTACAGTTGCTCCTCTCTTGGAAAACGAACTCTCAGAAAATTTTGTTTTTGGTTGGACCTTTGATGTGGTCCTTCCGAAGGGGTTCTGCTACAACTCCGATTAATATCGAGGCATTCTAAATCAGGAAAGGTGTAGAACTTTGTATCAGGTCAGCGTTGGCCAGCATCGATTACTCAGAGAACAAGAAAGTCACCTTCAAACGCACTGAACAGAATTTCATCAGACTTGGGAAGTCGTGCCACAGATTGAACATTCGGAGTTGGTCGAAAACATGTCTTTGTAAGCGAATCACATACCTAGTGACGATAACCGAAGGAATTTGTGACGTGCATGGATTTTTGACCTACTATGGGTTCTGTCAGATTTGGCAAAGAACATAGCACTCACCGAGGCAAATCACTGGGTACAAAAACATGCTGAACGAGAAGGATGGGTAATTCAAAGTAAACCGTCTTTTCACATGAACCATGTGATCGTCATGTAATCAACACGAAATAAACAGTGAAAAGTGGAAAGCCTAGACGTGCTCGTTTGGCAAGTAATCATTTATGGGATAGCCAATATTTGGCGTTGTTACATGAAAATGCCGAGACTTCCGGGAAAAATGAAATGGCTAATCAACTTAAAACTGAAAACAAATTCAGTCTCGTACCGGTAACATCCTTTTGGTGCCCAGTTGCAATACCAGCCGAAAGAAGCACGAGGGCCGGGATATTGCCAGATTGTCGAAGGCTAGGCGGGAGAAGTCGAGATTCAGAGATAGGATTGGAACCATGGAACTTTCGTTGAGTGAATTCGCGGAAACTCTGGAACTACGCCTGCCTGATGAGCCGCATGAGTAGCTTCCTTCAAGAAACTAAACTGCGATAACTCGACCGTTGTACCAACTGAAGCATGAGGCGGTCTTTGTGTAGCACATTCAATTGAAGAATATCACAAACGAGAGATTCGGTTGAATCTCCAATTAAAACCGAACTCGTTTGCAAATGAGTGTGTTTGTCAAAATACCTGTTCAGACTCGCCGAGAGCTTTTATTTCACCGGCCTATCAAACGCCTCATCGCAAAACAACTGCAATGCTTCCTAAGGCTCTGGAAGCTTGATAGCCAAACGGTGAACCGATAATATGCGCAACAGACAACTCAGCTTTCATCAGGTCCACTGTTTAATTTCCGTTCGGGTAAGCAACAAACGTAACCACAAATAAGAACCAATAGATCATCGGGAAAACATCACGGAACATACCAGAAGCCGGGCTGCGCACCGACCGGAAGAGTTTTTCTTGTGACTCCAACAATTTTAAAGAACCGGAATTCAAAGCGCCCAAATAACGCCCGGTTGTCAGATGGAAGTATTGTGACGAGATTGTCATATACTTTTGTCGCAACTGTAGTGCTTTGATAAGGGCTTCCGCGGCCACGTGTAGTTCATCCACAGGAACCTTGAGGGTGATCAGAGAGATAGACCGTTTGGTGCACAACGTAACACAGAGCATGGAATTTCGTACTTAAACGACCGAAATAGTGTGTGCACATGCTTGACAAAAGGGTTGCCTAAGGTGACGGTCGGGAACTAGTGGTAGACCGAGCGCAGAAAAGTATCACAACAAATCTAGACCAAAACTTGTGCAAGCACAGCAGTTGATGTGTCCAGGAATTGACCGCGAACACTCAGGTTCATGTGTTGGTGCAAATCTCGGTCAGAAGGCAACTGGCTAGTACCACTAACACGACAGAACTTTATTGAACAAGATAAAAAAACAATCAGTACACGCTCAGAAAGGCTGACAGGAGCCTAAGGTTCATTGTGAGACGGCACCCTCTTCAGATAGAGTTCAGAGCAGCAACAACACAGAACGATCATTCATCCAAGGCTACGACTGAAGGACGTAAAGATAGCCGTTCATCTCGAGAACAAACTAACACAATCGGGGGTAACATAACCATATGAAATGACAGTATTACCAAACCACAAAGATTGGGAAGGCCGCTTAGTATGACCTGCTGAAAGATGGATAAGAAAACACTGATGGTCCCTGAGGTTAAACATATCGGACACAAGACAAATGTTTTGTTTTTAGGCTGCCCTGGGCTCCCATCCCCAAAGGCATGAAAAACCCCCGCCGAAAACATCGTTTCTTTTGCTGATCCATACATCATACTTGAGTTGGTAATCAAAGTTCTTCCATTTTACATCATCTAGCAGAAGTTCGGGCGTGCATTTTCACCATTTCGCGAGAAGTGTTCGACAACTGTTGAACGGGAAATCCGATTCGGGTGTAAACTATTCATATACCTGGTTGATTAAGATTCGGAACGGATCCGTCGATCAACAATGGTCGATCTACTGGACTCCAGCGAACAGTAAGTAAATAGCAATTGATTTAACAAAAGTCCAGTGTGGTCCTACGTGGCAGTCGCTAATGAAATATATGTATATGTAGTATGTACGTTTAGACATACATGGTTAGAAATGTCGCCAGTGAAGTATAATCTATCCAGTTAGGACAATAATTATTTATAATGGAGACGTCAATAAACTTCAAGACATCCGCACGAATTGGTCGTGGTTCCCTTTTAATGAATAAACCAACCGATACAATACGGGTGCACGACTTTCGTCAGAAAGATTTCTGATATGGCATTCTACAAACAAATATGTCCTCACTGAATGATGTAATATGAAATTAGTTCACGCACCGAAGATGAACTCTGCGAATCTTTCCTCAAGGGTGGAATAGTCTCCGATATTTCTATTTCTCGCGTTCTAGCTACAAGCAGATCCTCGCGAAATGCTACAATGAACATGCGTTCAGGTCTGGGGCGAGTAGCTTCACTATCGTTGTACCGGCATACCAGCTAGGAAACCAGGCAGTTTGGAAAATTTAGAAGTCACTTCACTTCCGAAAGTACTGAGTTTGAAGGCATCCATATATTCACGAGTTTATCTGAACGCGTAAATTCATTTTGATAAGGTTTGAAGTGATGTTCACATCTCGGATCAACATCGGTGTAAGTAACAGCGTTTGTAGTTTACTTTCCGTTAGCCCGGTGAATTCTGAGTAAACCATTGGTGTGACCGGCATTACAGCACGACACATTGAACCGAACATGTATTAAGTTGTTTTCAATCAATTGGATTAATCAATCAATTGGACCAATCAATTGTATTATGTTGTTTCACTGCAGGATATTGATTGGTCATCATACATCGATAGTCTGTCGGTTTGTCATTGATTACGACCCGGAGTGAATCTTGACAATTAGCGAACTAAATCACTAGCATTGACATCCGTTTAGGGCTTGTTTTCTCACAACTAGCTGAAACGCCTCAATCTGTTGTGCAAAATCGAATCCCCAGTTCCATCATGGATCATACTAACCGTAGTAATATGATCATTAGCGTTCAGTTGTAGCACCCTTTCGGTGCCTAGTTGCTATGCCACCCGAAGGAGGTATGTGGGCTGGAATACGACCAGCCTAGACTAGAACAGTCGAGATTCCGGAGTTGGGTTTGAACCACGGACCTTCGGGATTGTAAGTTCGCGCCTAAACCACCGAACAATTTTGAGCTCCTCACCATCTGTAAGAGGCATGTGTTGCAAGTCCTTGGCCTCCTTGTAAAGAATTACAACAGACACGCTACAGGCACATGGTGTTGAATGCTCAGCCACTTTACACACAAAATGATAATACAGTGCACAGTGCAATCTCTACAGAATGCCAACTGGTAGCAGAGTTCTGCTGCGGCTAAAACTAACTGGCATGACTCGAGTTCATTCCATTCATTTTGGAACCATTCCGACCTGAGATTAAGATAATCTCATTGTTGGATGCACTTCTCCCGACTTTTCATTCCCATGAATTATAGACAGGATTGAGGCTAACAGATATTGTTCTCTGTCCCCTGGTTGATTTTTTTACTACTCTTTCTCACTCAGAGTATAGACAAATTCGGAAGAGAACGTGACTACCTCCTCCCGTTTAGCACTGACGTACTTTAAAGGCGTCATTTTATCCATCTTTTTTGTTCTCACCTGCAATAATGATGAGCTCCAGGTATCTAGTTTATCAAAGTTGCACAAGGCTTGAGAGTATATGAAAGGTACCAGTTGACAAATCCTCTCCAAACGTGTGAGATGCAGTCCGGATACATTTTGAACGTTGACACTGACATTAAATCCTGCGACTGAAGTCAATGCAAGCACCAAAACAAATGAACAGCAAACAGTATTTTAACACAGATCAACTTCATTCACAGGATGTCATTTCGATTGTGATCCATAATCCATAAGTTAAGTGCTGGTTATTATCTAAAGTAGCTCGTAGCCAACCTGGCCGTGTCATGTTGGGCAACTATCCCACTGCCACTCATTATCCGCCCCGTTCAAACAGATGTTGTTCCCACTACAGCTCATGGCCCGGAAATTTGTTTCAACTTCCAATCCTTGTCATACAAACCTATTCTTTCCATTCCCCGTTGGTTACGTACCAATTTTGGCTCGTAATCATATTATTACATTTGTTGGTTCAACTTGCCTTAGGAGTTTAACCATATCACTATTCCAATTAACACACAATTGTTCAGAATTCTAATTCTTGCCAAGCAACAGCCGTAAGTTGTACAAAATCTAGGAAGCTGGAGAGTTCCGGCTGAAACTCATGGTGCAAAGAATCCACGAATACTTTTCAAGCTTTCTCAGAGCTTTCATAGAGGAAGTATGAAAGGTACCAGTTGACAAATCCTCTCCAAACGTGTGAGATGCAGTCCGGATACATTTTGAACGTTGACACTGACATTAAATCCTGCGACTGAAGTCAATGCAAGCACCAAAACAAATGAACAGCAAACAGTATTTTAACACAGATCAACTTCATTCACAGGATGTCATTTCGATTGTGATCCATAATCCATAAGTTAAGTGCTGGTTATTATCTAAAGTAGCTCGTAGCCAACCTGGCCGTGTCATGTTGGGCAACTATCCCACTGCCACTCATTATCCGCCCCGTTCAAACAGATGTTGTTCCCACTACAGCTCATGGCCCGGAAATTTGTTTCAACTTCCAATCCTTGTCATACAAACCTATTCTTTCCATTCCCCGTTGGTTACGTACCAATTTTGGCTCGTAATCATATTATTACATTTGTTGGTTCAACTTGCCTTAGGAGTTTAACCATATCACTATTCCAATTAACACACAATTGTTCAGAATTCTAATTCTTGCCAAGCAACAGCCGTAAGTTGTACAAAATCTAGGAAGCTGGAGAGTTCCGGCTGAAACTCATGGTGCAAAGAATCCACGAATACTTTTCAAGCTTTCTCAGAGCTTTCATAGAGGAAGCTACTCACAAGGTAACTGAAAACTCTTCGACAGCCCACGTCCGGTTTCGCCTTTCTTGGGGCCCATCAGGTAGGCGCAGTCCCCGAGTTTTCGTCAACCTTATGTTCTAATTGAACCGAAATTGGACATTCAGTTGTAGAATATTGTAAACGAGAGATTCAGCTGAGTCTCTCGTGAAAACCAAATTGATTTGCAAATGAGTGTATTTCTCGAAAACAGTCCAATTTGGGTTCAAGTAGAACATTACGTTGACGGAAACTCGGGGACTGCGCCTACCTGATGAGCCCCAAGAAGGGCAAAACCGGTCGTGGGCTGTCAAGGAGTTTTCAGCAACCTTGTGAGTAGTTTCCTTTATGAAAATATACTGCGATATCTCGAATATCGTGTCAACTGAAACACGAGGCGGCCTGTGTGCAGCACGTTCAGTTGTAGAATATCAAAATCAAGAGATTCAGCTGAGTCCCTCGTGAAAACTAAATTGATTTGCAAATGAGTGTCTTTCTCAGAGATATTATTCCGACAGATACAACACTAGACCTCTAGTGAGACTACCTTATCGGTAGACTGGTGAATTATCAATGTGCAAATTGGTTCGTGGTACACACATTATGCACTTGTTAATAGTGCAAACTCAAACCATCCAGAAAAACATCTAAGAAACATGAAATCCCAGAGAACCTGGTCCAGAATGTTGTGTACCGATCGACAAAGGTGCACCGGGTAGGGATCGCCCGATGGTCAGCAATAGATCAAATGTACTGCTTTGAGCATCGGGCCGTATGCCCATCTGAACACTGAACTTTCGGATCACGTTACATAAATTTAGCCCGAAGCAGTGTGCAGAATTCAAACAATGTCGTGGTTCAAGTTACACAAACGTTCATATTGAGCGACCAAATTGTCGACGCAAGATAGCTAGATCTGGCCAAGATCATTGAAATGCAGTTCTCCTGAAGAACCGACGCCCGAGGAGAAAAGACTGTTCCCATCGGCGGGTGTAGGTTCTCAAGGATCTTAACTTCTGCAAAAAACGCAAGAATTTCGCCTATCTGACTGATCATCGCTCCAAAAAGAGTTCCTAGGAATAGTTCAGTTTCAA